TATAATTCTTTTATTAACTTTTAGAAAGAGAGGAAGGGAGAGGGAGGGAGAGAGAGAAACATCAATGAGAGAAACATCGATTGGCTGCCTCCTGTTTGCCCCTCACTGGGGATTGGGCCGACAACCTGGGCATGTGCCCTGACCAGGAATCAAACAAGCAACCACTTGGTGCCTGGGTCGATGCTCAACCACTGAGCCACACCAGCTGGGCTTCTGTATTTTTTTTTAAAGTATTCATTTCAGCCCTGGCTGGTATGGCTCAGCGGTTAGAGCGTCAACCTGCAGTCTAGAGAGACCAGGGTTTGGTTCCCACTAAGGGTGCGTACCTCGGTTGCAATTTGTCCCTGGCCCTGGTTGGTTGTGCAGGTGGCAGCCACTCGATGTGTCCCTTTCACATTGATGTTTCGCTCTCTCTCTCTCCCCCCCCTCTCTCAAGGAAAAAAAAAGTGTGGTCTTCATCTGTTTAGATATTAAAAAAAAGAAAAGTATCCATTTCAGCCCTGGCCAGTTTGGCTCAGCAGTTAGAGCGTTGGCCTGCGGTCCAGAGAGACCCGGGTTTGGTTCCTGCTAAGGGCGCATACCTTGGTTGCAATTTGTCCCAGCCCTGGTTGGGTTGTGCGGGTGGCAGCCACTCAATGTGTCCCTTTCACGTCGATGTTTCTTTCTCTCTCTCTCCCTCCCACTCTATCTGAACAAAATATGGAAAAGTGTCCTCGGGTGAGGATAAAAAAACCCCACAAATTTCAGCCCTGGACAGTTTGGCTCAGCAGTTAGAGCATCGCACATAGACCTAATTAACGGTCCTGGATTCTTTCCCCAGCTGGGACCATGAAGGCGGCAACCAATCAATATGTCTCTCTCACATTGTTTCTCTCTCTCTCTCTCTCCCTTCTTTCCTTCCACTCTATCTAAAAATCAGTGGAAAAATATCCTTGGGTGAGAATTAACAACAAAATAAATTATTCATTTCAATTAGATTTTAAATGTTATTAATAAATTATGTCAAATTTTGCTTATAATTTAAAAATCTTATTTGTAGTTTTGTTCCCTTTTTTTATTCCTAATGATATGTTTCTTATGGCTTCTCTTTTTTATCTTGATACTAAAGGTTTGACTGCTTTGTTCAGCTTTTTAAGTAATAGACTTTTAGTAATGGGTTCTACCAGGTTTTATTGTTATTTTAACAGCAATTGAAATTCATTGATGTGTATGTGTTTTAAAGCTTCCTAAATTCAATGCTTGGTTCATTTCCTCTTTTCTTTTTAATAAAATACATCAGAATTTTATTGCTTGAAGAATACAGCATATGAAATCACAAGAATGTCCAAATACAAAGTCACTAGGCTTCAAACATATAATACATTAGCAGATGCAGTAAAATATTAATTAACCTGAACTCTGCATCAGAAAAAAAAAGGGGGTGTGAAAAATATCTAAGTTGTTTACTTAAGAAACAGATACACTTAGAATAGCAAGTATCAGGATGTTATAGGACTAATTAGAAAAGCCAATGCTTATTAACTTACTATGTCTTAGACCAGACCACCTTTGGTACTTAAAATTTAAAAAAAGAAAAGAAAAAGAATCCTTTGTATCTTGTCCAAAGCATATCATAAATACAATATCAATTTCAACTTAAAAAATTCAGCAAAATTAACCTTTTCATGGCATGGGGGAAGTATATTTAATAAATAGTAATATATCATTTTTTCTAAAACTGCAAGATATGATCATTAAGAAATTTAATATTATAAACTTTACTTATTTAGCTCTCCAATTAAAATTGGAATCCTGGCAGCCACAGATTATCCTTGGGCTTGGCGAATATAGAAATTTAAATCATTTGGCTCATTTATTTTTAATCTGTCTTTTTCCCCCAATAAATGTATTTGTGGCTATAAAATATCCTCTGTGAATTGTTGGCTGCATCCCATAGATTTAAAAAAAAAATTTTTTTTTCTTTTTATTGATTAGAGAGAGAGAGAAAGGAAAAGGGAGAGATAGAAACATCCATGAGAAAGACTATTGATTGGCCTCCTCCTGCATGTCCCCCACTGGCGATTGGGCCCACAACCTGGGCATATGCCCTGACAAGAAATCAAATCGGCAACCTCTTGGTGCATGATTTGATGCTCAACCACTGAGCCACACCGGCCAGGCAAGCATCCCATGGATTTTGACATGCAATGTTCTCATGTTGTCATTAATTTCTAGTACACTAAAATTTATATTGTGATTTACCTTTTAACCTAAGAACTATTTAGAACAGCATGCATTTTAACTGGTTTCTCCACCAATTTAATCTCATTTGATTTTTATTTTTCAAGTGATTCCTTATAATTTTATACCCACCAATTGATCTCATCTTGTTTCCCAGTGCTGTTTTGGACTGATATACATTTTGCTCAAGAGCTAGAGGAAAAAGCAGGCACATGAATTCCGTGTACCAGCAGCATGGTCTCATTTCTACCAGTATTTTTTTAAAGGTGAGAGATTCCAGATCATGTTTATACCTACTGAGACTGGCCCAGAAGAGAGAGAAAAACACTGACACTGTCAGAAAAGAGATGCTCTTAAATGAAAGTCCTTGAAAAGAAGACAAATAATGCAATGATGAGCACAAGTGGAGGAAACTGGCCTGTGATATAGGAGGGATGTTTCCTTCATTGCAACTGAGAAAAGGAGGTAGATGATGGGTTTAGATGCACCTAGTTTTCTCTTTTTTCAAGCCAGATACTCCCAGCTTTAACAGTTGCTTTTTTATGATATCTTCTTGGATTTCTCCTCTGTTACTTGGTCCTTCATTAAACAAACAAAAAAAGTTTACTATTAAAATATAATGTTGACAAAGATCAAATAGTTCAGAATAATAACAGGACCATTAACTTCCTCGTTCTGGACACTGTCCTTATTTTAAGTCCAAAATTACTTTACACTTTGTAGTCATTTGTGTTAACTGTTATAAACTAGTTCTTGTCTAATTTGTATTTGGGTAGAGAATAACACCGCAGTCAACAGGACTCAATTCAGTCATGCTCTGAATCATATTAGGGTTGTCTCTGGGGTGTGTTCTCAAATTTGCTGTGCTAACCCTAAGTTAAACTTGTATCATCTGCCACTGGAACTCCACTGGCCTTTTTGCTCTTTCTTCTCTCTCTAGTCCTTACTCCTTGTTGCCCTCAGAATTGTCTATCTAAAATATAGCCCTAACCATGCTATGATTCTTATATAAGAAATTAATTTCTGGAGAATAAAGTCTAAACTGCTCATCATGACCTTCAAGATCCTTACTACTAGGTCCTCACCTACCTTTCTAGAACCCACAATGTCAAATGAATAAAATGGGCTGTGGAGTTTAAATTGACCACAGGCTAAATAAAATGATGTAGTCCTATAAATTAAGAAAGAATATCTTTATCTAAAATTTCTAATTTTAGCCCTGGCCAGTTTGGCTCAGTGGTTAGAGTGTTGGCCCATGGACCAGAGAGTCCCAGATATGGTTCCTGCTAAGGGCATGTACCTTGGTTGTAGTTTGTCCCTGGCCCCAGTTGGGGTCGTGTCGGTGGCAGCCAGTAGAAGTGTGTCTCTCTCTCTTGCTCCTTCTCTCTCATTTGTTCTATCTGAAAATAAATGCAAAAATGTACCTGGGTGAGGATAAAAAAAATAAATTTCTAATTTTATGTACTGATTTTCATTATGTTCTTAGACTTGTCACATTTTCCTTGTGTTTCACTGCTTAATTTATAATATAAGGGTCTACTATTTTGTATGAATTAACAAAAAATTCAGTAAAATTTTTAGCTAGTAAGTTATGTATCTTTTTAACCTTGTCTTCCCCATGCTGATTATGAAACTATCATTTCCCAAATTTGATGTAGCAAATACTATCACACTGAGGTATCTTTTGCTCATGTTATTTCCTTTGATTAAGATCCATTTCCACTCTATCCAATTCCAATACCAATTCCACCTTCCATACCAATTCCTATTTCTCCTGTCAACGTAAGAAATGTTCAAACCTGTAGAGAATTTTTAGGAGTTTATTTGAGCCAAACTGACGGCTATTGCTAGGAAGTAAAACCTCAATGGAATGAGAAGATGCTCCAGAAAATAGCAGTTCTGCACCTTATTTTATACAGTACAATAAAAACAGGAAACAACCCTGGCCTGTGTGGCTCAGTTGGTTGAGCATTGTCCTTTGCACCAAGAGGTCAACAGTTTGATTTGATTCCAGGTCAGGGAACGTGTCTGGGTTGCTGGCTCAATCCCTCATAGGAGGCATGCAGGAGGCAGCCAATCAATGTTTCACTCTCTTCCTCCCTTCCTTTCTCTCTGAAAAACCAGTGGGTTACATGAAATTCACTGGTGATAGGTTAGGGGATTAGGGAGGCAGGAGAAAGCAAAGCCCAGGGTTGGGGTAAGGCAGGGAGAGACATAGGACCTCTGGGATTATATAAAAAGTAGAATGATAAACACATACTTCTTTTTACATAGGTGGGTACAGGACAGTTAACAGTCAATAAGTAACATGATAACACCAACAATGAGGGTTTTGTGGCCTCTGCTCAGGTGTGGTGTCTGTGCTTTGAGGGGTCTGGAAAAAAGAAATCACTTTGACATATTATATTATGTATATTATCATAGATGCAAAAAGACAATAGATAACTGGTGTGCTCAGTGGCTGAGCATTGAACCACGTACCAAGAGGTTGCCAGTTCCATTCCCTGTTAGGGCACATGCCTGGGTTGTGGGCCCAATCCCCAGTGGAGGACATGTAGGAGGTGGCCAATCGATGTTCTCTCTCATAGATGTTTCTATCTCTCTCTCTCCTGCTCCATTCTTCTCTCTCTAAAAAAGACAATAGACAGATTCCATGAAGGTAAAGATTGACTTCTGTCAGGGAAAATTCTAGCCTAGGACATGACTACCTGCCATAAACTGCTTTAACTTAAAAAGTTTTAATTTCACTGCCCTGGCCGGTTTGGCTCAGCAGTTGGAGCGTTGGCTTGTGAACCAGAGAGTCCTGGGTTCGGTTCCCGCTAGGGGCACGTACCTAAAAAAAAAAAAAAAAAAGTTTTAATTTCAGACCATCTTATGTAGTTACTTTAGGTCTCTGAAGTTTGTAAGGCCACCATGCAGGCCTCCCCTGAGCTTGTCAGGTTTAGTATATGGCTCATTTTTGTCTATACTCCTAAGTATTTAGTCCTAGAAGAGTCCTTTGAGATCCTCTACAATGTCTAATGATAGAAAGGTGAAGATAGCTTTTGAAAAATCAAACTCAAGGACTTCTGGTCAAGATGGTGGCGTAGGTAAATGCGTTATTGCCTCCACCCACATCAAAATTACAACTAAACTACAACACAACCATAATTTAGAACTGCCTGACATCAAACTGAATGGAAGTCCTACAACTACTAAATTAAAGAAGCAGAAGCAGTCACATCAAGACTGGTAGGAGGGGCGGAGGTGTGGACAGGCTTGTCCCACACCCATATGTGGCAGATAAAAATCAGGATACCGTGGCTAGGAAGGTTCCCCCTGAGAAGTGAGGGGTCCCTGTCCCACACTAGGTGCCCAGCTCAGGGTCCCCATAACTTCAGGTTGGAAAACCAGTGGGAACTGAAGCAGAGGGAGGCTGCAGCTGCTGGAGCCCCAGGCAGTTCCTCTTAAAGGGCCCATGCACGGACTTACTTGGATTTGCTCCCTGTAATTTGGAGGGGAGGCAGCTTGAGGGGCACCAGAGACACACAGGGAAAAACTGAGCAGTTTGGCCTCAGGATCTGGGCTGGAGAGGCGGCTTTCTCCTGGACAGACGTGCTGGCGGAGGCTAATGTTACTTTGCTCAGCCCTTCCCTGGGTGGCAGACAGCCACTATATCTGGGACTCCAGCAACCTGGCTCACACTGTTTGCCCCACCCTGGTGATTCCCTGAGGCCCTTCCCCACCCAACTTTCGGGCCCACCCAATCTGTTTCCAAAGGCTTTATTATAGGATTGGCCAGTCTTGGATCTTGCTTCACAGTTTCCTAAAATCTCTCAAATAAGTAGCATCTAGTCTCAGCAAACCTCATACTTCTTATTAAGTGGCCCCACGCCTGGCATTAGAAGCAGCTAGCCTTGGTTCACAACTTGGCTGTGCCTGGGTACCTTCAAGTCCACCACAAGAAGCAGCCATTGGCAGATCACTTTGTAGCTTAAGCCTGGTGGCCTCGGATAGAACACAGGCAGTGACTGACCTTTCCCCAGAGCCAGCACACCCAGTGGAAAGCTTCAGATCACGTCTAAGTGCCACTACCCAACCACCTCCACAAGTGACACACTCAATGAGTGAACTCAGTGGGTACAAGAGCCCTGATGAAGTAAATCTTGCTTTGTGTGGTGGGCCCCTACATAGTTGATCCTCCAAGGGAGTCAGAGGCCAGTGGTCAGTGGGCACAGCCAGTTCTTGCAGCTGATCAGCCTGAGTAAATTCCTCCCATTGACATACCAACAGCAATCAAGACTCAATTATAACAGAAGGGTGTACAGTCCACACTAGGGAGGCACCGCGAGAACCCTGCTGGGGTGATCAGGGTGGCTGTGCCACTGGATCCTACAGGACACTGACAACAATAGGTCACCCTATGAAGTCTAGGAGACATAGCAACTCTACCTAACACATAGAACAATCACAGGGAAGCAGCCAAAATGAGGGGACAAAGAAAAGAAAAGAACAAAACTGCAGGAAAAGAATTAAACAAAATGGAGATAAGCATTCAATCAGATAGAGTTCAGAAAACAGGTTATAAGGTTGCTCCAGGAACTTGGTGAGACCTTCAAGGAACTTAAGAAGAACTCCAAGGAACATAGTGAAAACATCAACAATATAAAAAAAGATCAGTCAGAAACAAAGGATGTACTAACAAATAAAGAATAATTTACAGGGAATCAATAGTAAAGTAGGTAAAGCCAAGAAGCAAACCATAGATTTGGAATATAAGGAAGCAAAAAACACTGAATCAGAACAACAAAAAGAAAAAAGAATTCAAAGTGATGAGAATAGTTTAAGGAGCCTCTGGGACAACTTCAGGCATGCCAACATTTGCATCATGGGGTACCAGAAGGAAAAGAGAGAGGACAAGAAATTGAAAACTCATTTGAAACAATAATGACAAAAAAACTTCTTTAACTTAGTGAAAGAAACAGACATACAAGTCCAGGAAGCACAGAGAATCCCAAACAAAATGAACCCAAAGAGGACCACACCAAGACACATCATCATCAAAATGTTAACCTGACAACAATAGGCCACCCTATGAAGAGACAATACAAAGAGAGAATCTTAAAAGCAGCAAGAGAAAAACAATCTGTAACCTACAAAGGAGCTCCCATAAGACTGTCAGTTGATTTCTCAAAAGAAACTTTGCAGGCCAGAAAGGAGTGGCAAGAGATATTCAAGGTGATGAAAAGCAAAGACCTACAACCAAGACTACTACTCTATCCTGCAAAGCTATCATTTAGAATTGATAGACACATCAAGAGTTTCCCAGACAAGAAGAAGCTAAAGGAGTTCATCACCACCAAACCAGTATTATATGAAATGTTAAAGGGTCTTCTTGAAGGAGAAGAAGAACAAAAATAGCAACAATAAAATAGTAATGAATATATATCTATCAACAATTGAATCTACAAACAAAATGAGCAAGCAGAACAGAAACAGACTCATAGATACTGAGAACTTTTTGTTGCTTGCCAGATGGATGGCAGCTGGGAGGATGGGTGAAAAAGATGAAGTAATTAAGAGATTCAAATTGGTTGTTAGACTGATGAACCTCAAAGGGAAGGGGGGTGGGAGGGCGGGATGAGATAAACCAAAGAACTTCTATGCATATATGCATAAACAATGGACACCAACAATAGTGTGGGGAAGGGGGATGGGATTGGGGAGGAGGGGGTTAATGGGGAAAAAAGGGGGGACACATCTGTAATACAGTCAACAATAAAGATGAGTTAAAAAAAAAAAGAAAAATCAGACTCAATACAATAATTTATGTTAAATAAGTGTTTTCTGAATATGCTTTATGTAAAGTAAAAATTTCACAAAATTATGACTGCTGGAGATATTCAAATTGCAGTAATTCCAAAAGGGTTGGAACTTTCCTCTGTTCCTCCAAGAGGTTGAGCTCCTTTCTAACTTAGGAATTACCTATGCACTTTTCTTTCTGCCTGTAATGTTCTTTTCTCAACCCAACCTACTACCCACTCATCCTTTCAGGTGCCAGCTTAAATGTGTCTTCAGGAAGGCAAATGTATACCTTCTGTTCTATACTGTCTCATTGCCCCTTCTAAATCCTCACCCAAGGACATCTTTGCATATATCTTCAGATAGAGTGGGAGGGAGAAAGGGAGGAAGAGAGAGAAACAGCGACTTGAGAAAGACACATCAAGTGGTTGCCACTAACACGACTCCAACCGGGGCCAGGGACAAACCGCCCCCAAGATACCTGCCCAAAGCAGGAACCCAACTGAGGACTCTCTAGTCTGGGGCCGATGCTCTAACAGCTGAGCAAAACCAGCCAGGGCGCCCCTTCTACTTCTTGACAGACCTCCTTCATTACAGTTGTTATGTGATCAGATGTGTAGTGTTGATTTTTCTTGTCTTCTTCATTAGACTAAACTATGAGGGTGTGGATGTGACTGTTTTGTTCACTACCATGGTGTTTGGCACATGAATGAATTTTAGTTGCAGTTGGCACAAGGACAAAACACAACAACAGTGGAGAAACACTGCCCTAGCGACTCTATGGAGTGCACCCACACCTTTCCCTATCTCCTTTCCCCGGGGCCATTTTTCCTTGCCCTTCTCACCTAAGCTGCATGGGCCCCTCTTTTGCTTCTGTAACTTGTTTCCTAAACCCATTTCTCCTAGGGCTCACTTCTTCTACCTCTGTGACTTTCTAAATAAACTTTATCTTATAACTTTGAAAAATAAATGAAGAAAGAAATACTGCCCTAATAACCCAAAGCCTGATTTTAAAAGATGAAACAGATTTGGGAGGAAAAATGGCGGCGGAGTGAACGGAAGCTACACAGACCGTCTCCCAGAACCAAACTGGAATTATAACTATAACACAGACAAATTGATGGGAAAAAGCAACAGAAAAGCAGCTTGCGAGGACCATATAACGAGGGACACTGACTCCATCCTGGTAGGCTTGTGAGGCCGCGAGTGGGGGCTGGGAGCCCACGGTCCGCAGCTCCGCAGTGGCCTCAGCTGGGAGCAGCACCCTGGGGCTACACTCCCAAGCAGCTCCACAGCACAGAGCCGGGACAGAGGCTAAAACAGCCACAACCACTCACCTTGGGCTCCGGCAGAGGGAGTGCAGACTGGACTGGAACTGTGTCGGGACACTCGGGATTTGGAGGTCACTCAGAGCTTTTGCTGAGTGCAGCCACGCAGGATGGTGGCCATATTGCTCCTTCCCAGGCAGCAGCCCTCCCTCGGAGATCCAACCCCACCCTGTGGGCCATTGAAGTGCTAATTGAAGCTCATTAACAAACAGCATCTGCCCCACCCTCGTGAAATCCCCTTGTGCTGAGCACCTGAGGGAGTTTTTCAATCAACTGACAACCCAAAACTCATCAAGTAACCTCGACTGCTAGCCTCCAGGCAAAAAGCTAGAGGATAACAGTACCTTTCTTGGGCTAGCAACTTTAACCAGGAAAGTAAAACTTCACAGTGGTATTTAACGTGGGTCCTCCCTCACTCATCTAAACCCAGGAGAGGGAGCCACAAACAGCAGAACACCAACACCCACAGGGAGAACTTGACAGGCTCCAAAGCCCACAGTGATAGCCAGAATGGTGAAACACAGAAACAGAAGCCAAATGAAAGAGCAAGAGACCTCCACTGAAGATGAGATCAATGTGGAGCAATTAGGCAAGTTAACAGAGCTAGAATTCAGAGCCATGATCGTGAGGAAGCTGAACAGCATGAGTAAGGACATAGAGATACTGAAAATAAGCCAATTGGAAATTAAAAACCATCAAGAAGAGATAAAAAATGACATATCAG